GATCAGCGCGGTGTGCCGACGGCAGCGCGCTGGCCCCGGCGGCCATTGGAGGGTGAACCAATGGCAAAGGAAGACCTTTCTCTCTGTCTCTCTCTCTCTCACTGTCCACTCTGCCTGTCAAAAAAAAAAAAAAAAAGTAGCTGTCTGGCTTCCGCCCTTAAGGCATACGGATCTGGCTGAAAAGCCCATGAGAGTATTTCAGGCATGGAAAGCCAAGACACTCTGGGGGAAAAAAAAAAAGAAAAAAAAAAACTAAATGAAAGATCTCCGCGAGTGAGATCCAGTGGAAAGAACAGGTCATCAAAGAAGGATGTACCTTTCTCTGAAGGGAGGAGAGAACTTCCACTTTGACCATGGTTTTGTCAAAAATTATCATAGTCAGTGAACTCAGGGGGCTTCCATAGCCTTGGCAGCTCATGGCAAGAGCCTAGGGTGATTACTGAGGCCATAAACAAGAGTGTCAATTTGTTAAGTCAACAACAGGAGTCACGGTGCACTTACTCCTCATGTAGGATCTCTGTCCTTAGTGTGCTGTACATTGAGATTTAATGCTATAACTAGTACTCAAACAGTATTTTTCACTTTATGTTTCTGTGTGGGAGCAAACTGTTGAAATCTTTACTTAATGTATGCTAAACTTATCTTCTATATAAAGATAACGAAAATGAATCTTGATGTGAATGGACGGGGAGAGGGAGTGGGAAAGGGAGGGTTGCGGGTGGGAAGGACGTTATGGGGGGCAAGCCATTGTAATCCATAAGCTGTACTTGGAAATTTATATTCATTAAATAAAAGTTTAAAAAAAAAGGAAAAGGGAGGGAAAAGAGGGAGAAATAGAGAGAGAAAAGCATAAGAAGTTGCTAAAACATTTAAAAAATAGGTATTTATGTAAAAGAGGTGGAACATATGATCCAAGTTTTTCTCATCATATGTCTTACATCTTCGAATTACTTTACATTGAATTCTAAAATAAAATTTTTGCTTTATAACAGTTTCAGCTTTATTAATGAAAATGTCAGGGATAGCAAGGAGAGTTCCTCTGATGTCCCACAGCCAGTTTCCCCTCTTATTAACATATCTTAAACTAATTAAACAATGAATGAACCAAAATTGGTATGTTATCCTTAAGTAAAGTTTATACTTATTTGGAATTCCTTACTTTTCACCCAATATCTTATTGTGTTCTAATATCCCATCCAGGATACCATATTACCTGCAATTGTTTTGTACACTGTGACAGTTCCTCAGACTTTCTCTAGTTTTTAATGACTTCCGCCATTGTGAGGAATACTTTTCATGTATTTTGTGCAGTGTCATTCAATCGAGGTATGATTGATGGCTCTGTCATGGTTAGATTAGGGTGATTTATTTAAGCAGACTAGGGCGGTTTATTTAGAGTCATTACCCTCGACAGGAGAAATTACCATTGCTGTTGACTTTGATCACTGAGCTAAGGTAGTATTTTGTAGATTTCTTAACTGTACACTCTTTTAACCTCCTCTTCATTCTGTATTTTTGGAAGGAAGACACAAGACGTAGTGCACACTTAAGGAATTGGAGGTTTATGCTGCAACTCATCAAAGACAAAGTAACTACATAAATTATTTGGACTTTTTTTTACATGGAAAATTTGCCTCTTATCCTCAGTTCATTTATGCAATCATTTATATCGTGTAAACTCATGGATATTTATTTTCCACTTAGGGCTACCTGGTACTCTTCTTCTAGAAAAAAAGTAAACATTATGAAACTAAATAATGGAGGTTTTAGTTTTTAACAGATTCAATAGAGTTCGTAGCTACAATTCTAAGAATATAATGGTATTCCCATTTTCCTTTCCTCCCTCCCTCCCCTTGTTTCCCTCCCACCATCTCTTCCATTTCCCCTCTCTCTCCCTTTCTTTTCTCTCTCTCTTCCTTTTTTCTTTCTTTCCTTTCCTTCTTTCTATCTTTTATAGTTTTTGATATAGCACATGTTAAAATTATATTACAGCAAAAAGGTTTCACTAGATAAGAAATTTAACAAGTAAAAAGGAAAACAACCATAGTTTAGTGGGAATTTAGCCAACAGCTATAAATACAAATTTTAATGGAAACATGAATATATCACCCTTATATAGTAAATTTAAAAGTAATCACATATCATTAAACTATAATAGTATGGCATTCTTTTTTTTTTTTTTTTTTTTTGACAGGCAGAGTTAAACAGAGAGACAGAGAGAAAGATCTTCCTTCTGTTGGTTCACCCACCAAATGGCCGCTGCGCCGATCCGAAGCCAGGAGCCAGGTGCTTCCTCCTGGTCTCCCATGTGGATGCAGAGCCCAAGCACTTGGGCCATCCTCCACTGCACTCCCGGGCCACAGCAGAGAGCTGGGCTGGAGAGTGGCAACTGGGACAGAATCCTTCGCCCCAACTGGGACTAGAACCCGGGGTGCCAGCTGGCCTTTCTTTTTCTTTCTTTCTTTCATTTTTTTTTTAAGACTTATGTATTTATTTGAAAGACAGAGTTACACAGAGAGAGGAGAGGCAGTGAGAGAGAGAGAAGGAGGTCTTCCATCCGATGGTTGACTCCCCAATTGGCTGCAATGCCTAGAAGTGCACCAATCTAAAGCCAGGAACCAGGAGCTTCTTTCAGGTCTCCCATGCCGGGGCAGGGGCTCAAGGACTTGGGCAATCTTCTACTGCTTTCCAGGCCATAGCAGAAAGCTGGATTGGAAGTGGAGCAGCCGGGACTCAAACCAGTGCCCATATGGGATGCCGGCGCTTCAGGCCAGGGCATTAACCACCTGAGCCACAGTGTTGGCCCCATATCTTTATTTTTTTTATCTGATTGTGGACATCTTGGTTTACTCTAAATTTGGGCTATTTTTTTTTTTGATAGGCAGAGTTAGACAGAGACAGAGAGACAGAGAGAAAGGTCATCCTTTTCCGTTGGTTCACCCCAAAAATGGCTGCTGTGGCTGGCGTGCTGCACCGATCTGAAGCCAGGAGCCAGGTGCTTCCTCCTGGTCTCCCATGCAGGTGCAGGGATCAAGCACTTGGGCCATCCTCCACTGCACTCCCTGGCCACAGCAGAGAGCTGGCCTGGAAGAGGGGCAACCGGGACAGAATCCTTCGCCCCAACCGGGACTAGATCCCTGGGTGCTGGTGCCACAGGCAGAGGATTAGCCTATTGAGCCGCGGCGCTGGCCAAAATTTGGGCTATTTAAACAGTGCTGCTATAAACATGGTGGTATAGATTTCACTTTGATACAACATTTTCATGTCTTTTGAGTATATATCCAGTAGTGGGATTGCTGGATCATATGGCAAGTCAATTTCTAGTTTTTTAAGAAATCCCCATACTGTTTTCATAATGGCTTACTAATTCCATTCCCATGAACAGTGTATAAATATTTCCCTTTCTCCACATTCTTTTCAGTATTTGTTACTCTCTGTCTTTGGATTTTAGCCATTCTGAGATGGTGAAGTGATATCTCATTGTGGTTTTGATTTGCATTTTCCTGACGGCTAGTGATGTTGAGCATTTACTCATATATTTGTTGGCCATTTGTATTTCTTCTTTTGAGAACTGTCTATTGAGGTCCTTTGTTCATTTCTTACCTGGATTTGTTGGTTTTTATTGAGTTTTTTTAAGTTACTGATATATTCTGGATAGTAATTCTTCGTTGGATAGGTAGCTTGCAAATATTTTTCCTATTCTGTTGCATATTTCTTCATGGTATTGATCATTTCCTTTGCTGTACAGAAGCTTGTGAGTTTGATAAAACTCCATTTGTTCCGTTTTGCATTTGTCACCTGTCATTGGGAGTCTTGTCCAAGAACTCATCCCCTACACCAATGTTGTGGAGTGTTTCCCCTACAGTTTCTTCCAGCAGCATCATAGTCTTAGGTCTTAAATTTAAGTCTTTGATCCATGTTGAGTTAATTTTTGTATACGGTGACAGGTAGTATCTACTTCCATTCTTCTATACATATGTGTGTATGTGTACAAACACCTGGTTTTCCCAGCACCATTTGTTGAAGAGATTACCCTTACTCCATTTTATGGTCTGAGCACTTTTGTCCAAATTCAGTTGGCTGCATGTATGTGGATTAATTTCTGGGCTCTGTGTTCTGTTCCATGGATCTATGTCAGTTTTTATGCTAGTACCATGCCATTTTAATTATTAGAGCTTGGTAGTAAGCTTTGAAGTCAGGTATTTTGATAACTCCAAGTTTGATTTTTCTTGCTCATGATCATCTTGGTTACTCTGGGTTGTTTGTGATTCCATATGAATTTTGGGTTGTTTTTTCTAATTCTGTAAAAATGTCATTAGTATTGTTGATGGGGATTGCATCGAATATATCTAGATTGCTTTAGGTAGTATAGACATTTTAATGATACTGATTCTAAATGGAAGTTTTTCTAATTTGTAATTAAATTATAATGCATTAATAAGTATCAGTACATAAAGACCTAAAAATCAAGTTTTTCCAGTAGTTAAATTCAAAAAAAATATTATGTTCACAAGCACACACACAAAAAACCTTTTCAAGTAACATAACGATACATAAGGAGATAAAAGCACTAACCAAGCAACTTTTTAAAATTATTTTTAAACCAATGAACTTTTAAGCATTGTACTTGGACATACATCTTTATTCTAAAGACAAGGAGATCTATAAACTGAACTTTACTCTGCTTGGTAGGAGTACATCTCTCAGTAGTAGGTATGTAGCAATTCTGAAAATAATTCCTGTGGATTGCCTGATTGAGTAAATGAGAAAGACAGTGAATATGCCTGAAGCCAGGATTTTCACTTTTGGAGAAGGAAGATGAAACATTAAATATAGCAAGGTTAGAAATAAAAGAACTGGTAGAATTGGATTGGAATTCTCCAAGGTTTTCCAGTAAAAGAAAAGTATTAAATGATCCAGGGACATTTTATGGTTCTACAAAGTAAAGAAATACTTATAGTAGAATAATGATAATAATAGTAATATCAAAAGTACATTCAGGCTAGCCTGAAGGGACTCCTCATGTCCAACTCAGGAAGTAAAATATCAAAATAAATAATGCTACCAATGGATCACAAGCCATTGCCTATAAGAAGAAACCTTGTGCCTATACTACTAATAAACAAATGAATGAATAAATTGGGCAGAATAGAAAATTCACATTATTTTCTGAAGGATCTTTTATTTTTAAGAGATTTATTTATTTACTTGAAAGTCAGAGTTACACAGAGAGAGAAGGAGAGGCAGAGAGAGAGGTCTTTCTGCTTCCCAGGCCATAGTAGAGAGCTGGATTGGAAGTGGAGCAGCCAGGTCTTGAACCAGCATCCGTGTGGATGGCTTTTCCCGATACACGACAGTGCCAGCCCCTGAAGGATCTTGTAACAGTTTAATACTACTGCTTGTAATAGGTTAGAGTGCCTGTTTTGCTATATATTTGACAATGGTGAATACTATAATTTTGTTTTTGTCCTTTAGTGCATTGTTTGATTACTATTATAAACTGAACATTTTTTATCCAAATATACAGGATACTTCAAAAAGTTCACAGAAAAGTGGAATAGATAAGTAAGTTTATTTTGATGCATACATTTTTTAAATCTCTATACATAATTTTTCATTGCACATTTTTCGTGAAAGTTTAAATATTATGTATGCATGTGTCTGTGTAATTTTTGTCATTGATAATTATGTTACTTCTGTGAAAGTATGTTTTGGTGGTGTTCTCAATTTCTATTGCAATATTAGGAATTTTTCCTTGTGGCCAGAGCCGTGGCGCACTAGGTTAATCCTCCAACTGCGGCACCGGCGTCCATATAGGCGCCGGTTCTAGTCCCAGTTGTTCCTCTTTCAATCAGCTCTCTGCTGTGGCCTGGGAAGGCAGTGGAGGATGGCCCAGGTGCTGGGGCCCCTGCACCTGCGTGGGAGACCAGGAAGAAGCTCATGGCTCCTGGCTCCTGGCTTCTGGCTTCAGATTGGTACAGCTCCAGCCATTGTGGCCATTTGGGGAATGAACCAATGGAAGGAAGACCTTTCTCTCTGTCTCTCCCTCTCACTGTTTGTAATTTACCTGTCAAATAATTTTTAAAAAATCTTTTAAAAAGAATTTTTCCTCACTGTTTTGAATGATATATATTATATATATGTCCAGAGATATAGATCTAAAACTAAAGATGAAGCAGAATAAAGAGATAAGGATAGAGGAACTAGACATGAAAGGAGGGAAGTGGGGGAATGTGAGGTGATGGTACATACCCATATGATTTAGTATAGTACAGATATCAGATCATTTTAAGATTCCTGAGCAAAGAATTTTTTTTTGGCTGATTTCCGTCACATTCCCTTCATGGCAACATGTTACTGTAGATTACAATGAATATGTATTCTCTTATCCTGAAGAACCTTATATATTCTATTTAGACAGAGACTCTTTCAAGTTCATACATACTTTATTATTTTAACTTTTCTTTCTTTTTTTTAAAGATTTATTTATTTATTTGAACTTCAGAGTTACAGAGAGGCAGAGGCAGAGAGAGAGAGAGGGAGAGAGGTCTTCCATCCACTGGTTCACTCCCCAAATGGCAAACCAGAGCTGGGCCAATCTTAAGCCAGGAGCCAGGAGCTTCTTTAGGGTCTCCTCATGGCTGCAGGGGCCCAAGGACTTGTGCCATCTTCTACTGCTTTCCCAGACTATAGCAGAGAGCTGGATTGAATAGGAGCAGGTGGGACACGAACTGGCCCCCATATGGGATGCCAGCACTGCAGGTGCTGGCCCTATTTTAACTTTCTTTACTACTTGTAGTATAATCTATTTACATAATATTTGAAACATTTGTGACTTTTTCTACAGTATTTACTGCCCTCTGGTGTTTGCAAAGTAAGGATAATAATATATTTTGCTTCCACTTCATTTTCAGCTTATAGGATTTCTTGGCATAGATAAATTGCTTATATAAAATTGAACTGTTTTATATATTACATATTAATATTTAATATTATAATTTAATATTATATTAAATATTAAATATATGTTAAATATTTTCCAATCATTTCAGAAATAAAAAAATTAATTACAGCCCATCAGTTATTTTGGGAGAGTTCCACCATTGAAAAATCTTTTCAATTTCCATCCGGCAAATGAAGAATGAAAATTGCCTAGAAAACATACTTGCCAGGTGAGTCTTTTCCAAAGTCAGACAATGAAATATTCATAGTTATCCTGGGAAGTCCATTTCTTGAAAATGTAGCAAATATTGTGAGAGTTATAGCAGGCAAAAGGAAACAGCAAGAATGAGACAGGAGAAGAAGGCAGGGGATGTTGCTGTGTTTGAGGGTTTTTCATTTTCCCATCTGACACAGATTTACGTTAGTCCTCTGCAGCTTTGGGTCATTCTGCTTCTCTAAAATCAGCTTCAGTTTTCTAATCCATACACTGATATTTAGCTCATTCAGTAGCTTTCAAATCTTTCTGAAGGGGAGAAGGAGGAGGGCACACTTATTCAAGCAAAACATTCCATGGACTTCTAATTATAACACAGGAAAAATCAAAACTGTTCTGGTGAGAGTGTAGCACAGATTCAGGGGTTGGGGTGGGTATTGTTCCTGTCTTTTAACCACCCACCTTGTCTGCCCCTAGTTAACCTGTAGGGCACCCCTGAGTCTTCCCAATTTCATGAGGATCACATTTTGACCAATAATGGCAGCAAAAGGCAAATTCACACAAAGTCCCCTTCCTTGTTAAATACCCTCAAATGCATAAATTCTTTATAAGTTATTTTGAATTTCAAAAGCTACCAAAATTTTACTTGTACTTAACAAATTCTTAATGCTAACTGGATATTATGTTAGTCCTAAGAGTACAAAAAATAGACATTTTCATTCGCACATGTACAATACATTATTAATTAAATGATTATCCAAATTAGTATAACCTCATTGAAGTGATACACTTAGTGGAGAAGAGGTAAATGTGACCATGAATGTATGAGATAGGAAGATCTGTGCTAGGCAGAAATATCAGGAGAGCCTCCTAAGGAAGGTAGTAAGTGAAGTAGGACCTAAAGGTAAGTTAGGAATTAGTCCTATAGAGAAAGAAATAGAAGAATTTTATACAAAGCACAGGGAAAGAAGCAGCATGGTATCTTAATTAATATGTCTAAAATTTAAACAAGGGGTGAAGAGAATTGGGAAAAGTGGGAACCAAGACAACAGAGTTTTTACCCAGGGATTTTGATCTATGTCCTCAGAGAAATGGAAAATTACTAAAGTGTTTTTGAGCAGGCTCTTCATGATCAGATGACTGTCTAGAGGATGGTGGATGTATTAAAGTACTTTAAAAGTTTATAGAAAATGGAGTTGAGAGGGGCCGGTGCTGTGGCGCAGCTGGTAAAGCCGCTGCCTGCAGTGCTGGCATCCCATATGGGTGCCGGTTTGTGTCCTGACTGCTCCACTTCCTATAAACTCTTGGCTATGGCCTGGGAAGGCAGTAGAGAATGGCCCAAGTCCTTGGGCCCTCGCACTCGCATGGGAGGCCTGGAGGAAGCTCCCAGCTCTTAGATTCAGATGGGCGCAGCTCTGGCCATTTCGGCCATCTAGGGAGTGAACCAGTGGATGGAAGACCTCACTCTCTCTCTGCCTCCGCTTCTCTGTAACTCTGTCTTCAATAAAATAAATCTTTTTTTAAAAAGAAAAGAAAATGGAGTAGAGATAAATTTATTTTGGTGCCAAAAATTGAAACCTATGCCCAGTTTTTTCATACTACACATTTTCCATGAACTTTTTGAAGACACTTTGAATTAGTTTGGGATGGATGAGAAGAGATACAGATTCAGATACAATGATGTGTAAAAATAATATAGCTGTAGGCCGGCGCCGCGGCCTCACTAGGCTAATCCTCCGCCTAGCGGTGCCGGCACACCTGGTTCCAGTCCCGGTCGGGGCGCCGGATTCTGTCCCGGTTGCCCCTCTTCCAGGCCAGCCCTCTGCTGTGGCCAGGGAGTGCAGTGGAGGATGGCCCAGGTGCTTGGGCCCTGCACCCCATGGGAGACCAGGAAAAGCACCTGGCTCCTGGCTCCTGCCATCGGATCAGCGCGGTGCACCGGCCACAGCGCCGGGCGCGTCGGCCATTGGAGGGTGAACCAATGGCAAAGGAAGACCTTTCTCTCTCTCTCTCTCTCTCTCACTGTCCACTCTGCCTGTCAAAAAAATAAATAAATAAATAAAATAAAATAATATAGCTGTTATCTTATGGAGAGACCATGGCGTCATAGACTGGCGTATGTCAATGGAGATAACATAGATTTAAGAAATGTATAAGGGGTAAAATTGGTTAATTAGGTGATGGATTAGAAATAGGGTGCATGGGAAAAGGAAATATCAAGGGTAATTCTAAATTTCTTCCTTACTCAACTAATGGATGAGACACGGGCCAGCACAAGAAGTGCTAAACTTTGATGGAAGAAGAGGAATCACCAGCGTGATTGAGCTATATCATATTTGAATAGCTTTTGCAACAAGTTGTTAAGTCACCTATTTCAGAATCATACTTGAAATAGAGACAATATATTTCAGCTATGTTTAGGTAACAGTGAAGGCATGGGTATAGATGATGGTTCTACATACAAAGTGTAAAGTGATAGGAGCTGGCATTATGGCACAGTGGTTTGAGCTTGAGACCAATGGCACATTATGGCACAGTGCTTGAGACAATGGCATCTCATATCAGAGTGCCAGTATAAGTTCCAGCTGCTGTACTTCTGCTTCAGCTGCCTGCTAATGTGCCAGGCAAAGCAGTAAAAAATGGCCCAAGTACTTGAGGCCCTATCACCCATTTGGAGAGCCAAATGGTGTTTCAGACTCCTGGCTTCAACCTGGCCCAGCCCTGGCCTAACCATTTGAACAGTGAACCAGCAGATAGAAGATCACTTTCTCTCTCCAAATCTCTCTGTTGTTCTGCCTTTCAAATAAAAAAATAGGGCCGGCGCCGCGGCTCACTAGGCTAATCCTCCGCCTAGCGGCGCCGGCACTACCGGGTTCTAGTCCGGTCGGGGCGCCGGATTCTGTCCCGGTTGCCCCTCTTCCAGGCCAGCCCTCTGCTGTGGCCTGGGAGTGCAGTGGAGGATGGCCCAGGTGCTTGGGCCCTGCACCCCATGGGAGACCAGGAAAAAGCACCTGGCTCCTGGCTCCTGCCATCGGATCGGTGCGGTGCGCCGGCCGCAGCGCGCCGGCCGCGGCGGCCATTGGAGGGTGAACCAACGTCAAAGGAAGACCTTTCTCTCTGTCTCTCTCTCTCACTGTCCACTCTGCCTGTCAAAAAAATAAATAAATAAAATAAAATAAAATAAAATAATAAATCTTTTACAAATGGGAAGTGACAGTATAATAGAATCTTGAACATTTTAGGGGCTTCAACATTAAATAGCAAGTAAAGAAAGAAAAGGGTTCAAAGTATGCAGCCAGAATGAATGAATGGAAAACAGTATTATATCTTACTAGCTGGGGAAGAAAGTGTTTTAAGAAGGAGTTAAACAGTGCTGAGAACTGAAGTAAATAAGGAATAAAATTATCACTTAGATTTAGCAACAGGAAGTTTTCTGTTTGTTTTTTGTTTGTAAAGATTTATTTATTTGTTTGAAAGGCAGAGTTACCAAGAGGCAGAGGCAGAGAGAGAAGGATGTCTTCCATCTGCAGGTTCACTTCACAGACGTCCACAATGGCCAGAGCTGGGCCAATCCAGGAGCTTCTTCCAGGTCTCCCACATGGGTGCAGGGGTCCAAGGACTTGGGCCATCTTCTACTGCTTTCCCAGGTCATAGCAGAGAGCTGGATCCGAGTGGAGCAGCCAGGACTAGAACTGGTGCCCACATGGGATACTGGCACAGCAGGCTTCAGCTTTACCTGCTATGCCACATGGGTGATCTTCATGAGAACTGGTTCAGTACAATGATAGTGGCAAAACTCCAGACTAGAGTGATTTGAGGAGTGAGTTACAGTTGATTGGAATATTTCTTTGGAGTTTGGCCCTTAAATGAGAGGGGAGAGAGTCTGCTAACTGGTTCATGGTGTAGTATTGAGAAAGGGTTCTTATTTTTTGGGTATGTTCAAAAAGCAGTGGAAGAATCCATGAAGATGAGGTAAAGAGAAAGAGGAGTAATCAACAACGTGCTCTTCCAGAGAAGAGTAAAGACGGAAGCATATAAGGAAACACTGCCCTGAGATAGGAGGAAGGGACTGTACTTTTACTTTCAACAGGTAGAAACATTGTTGGATTAGTTGTATACATATGTAAATTTGAATGTTTGTTGACACAAAAAGTGGTATTCGTATGTATGTATACAGGTATATGCAATCCATGTATTTTCTCTGTAAATGGTTATATTATCTACATAATTTGTTTAAAGATTTATTTTATTTATTGAAAGGGAGAGAGAGAGAGAGAGAGAGAATCTTCCATCCTCTGGTTCACTCCCCATGTGGCTGCATTGGTGGGGGCTGGGTCAGGAGTCTGGAACTACATGTAGGTGCAGGGGCCCAAGGACCTGAGCCATCTTCCAACTGCTTTTCTAGGTGTGTTAACAGGGAGCTGGATCAGAAGTGGAGGAGCCCTGGACTTGAACCAGTTCTCTGCTATGGGATGCTGGTTTTGCAGCCTGAGTCTTAACCCACTGCTGAACCCTCATCTACTTAATTTTAAAGAGGAAATAGAGGAGCTGACATTGTGGTATAGAAGGCTAAGCCTCCACCTGCGGCCCCTGCATCTCATATGGGTGCCAGTTTGTATTCCAGCTGATCCTCTTCTGATCCAGCTCTCTGCTTATGGCCTGAGAAAGCAGTTGGAAGATAGCCAAGTATTGGGGCCCTGCACCCATGTGGGAGACCTGGAAGAAGCTCTTGGCTTCTGGTTTTGGATTGGCCCAGCCCCCATCATTTTGGCTGTTTGGGGAGTGAACCAGCAGATGGAAGCCCTTTCTCTCCGTCTTTCCCTCTGTCTGTCACTCTACCTCTCAAATAAATAAATGAAATTTGTAAGAAATAAAATAAAACGCTAAGCCACTTTTTTTTTAAAAAAAAAGAAATAAAAATTAAGACTTGCATTTATAGTAGTAAGTCAAAATAATTTTTAAAAAATAGAAAAATGAGCTGACCAGACAAAGATGGACAAAGATGGAATTTCAGCATGGAAACTTTAGAAGTATGAACTCTCCAACTCTACACCCTACCCTTGACTTACTGAGCCAGAAACTGGGGGTGGCGCCAGGCGTGAGACCACTGCTCTAAACAGTGTTCCAGCTTTCTTTTTTTTTTTTTTTAACTGTGATTCACACAATGATGTTTTGCATCACAGTTAGTACGCAGGTGCACATGAAACAAATCGGAAAGTTTATGAAAATATCCTATCCAGTGCAATCTTATATTTCTGTTCCCTTGAATTTCCCTTTGAAGAAAATGCTAGGGTGAAAATCCTAAAGGGTGTTGGAGAGCCGATGAGATTTGGACATGGACTGTAGGTTGGATGATCACATTGCAAATGTGAAATATCTAGATTTTGGAAATCTGCTATGACTGTGCACGTGAATGCCCTCTTAGGGAAGCCATAGTGAAGTACTTCAGTTAGGAGTGCTTACCTTGCACAGGCAGAGGAAGCAAAAGAGACGGTGAAGGCAACTGATGAACCTGGGTACAGGGGAGACAGTTTGAAATCATGTCAAATAAAGTACCTGAAGAATATTGGTTCAGACACACTAATCTGATACTGCCCTCCACAAAGGGGTCTTTGAAAACTGCAAGGCGTATTTTAAAGTCAGGAACTAGTACTGGATTCTACTAAAGTATCTCTAATACCCCATGCAGTGCCTCAGCTGTGGAGGGTGCTCAGTGCTTGTTCACTGACTGCTGATGTTAATATAGGTTTTTCTTGCCACTGTTGTTTTCAGTTGTTAGTCTAGTCACTGTTGTTGCATTTGCTTCCTTTTCACTTCTAGAAGATCCGCACCTTAATCTGTTTACCGTGTGCCCAAGGTCACTGGAGAGTGTTATGGGGTGGGAAGAAGGTAGGCTGTGGATTTGAACCGATGGGGTTTTCCTGCAGGCTCCTCTCCTCCCTGGCTGCCTGTTGCTCTGTGCCCGTGCAGAGCTGTCACATGGCCCCCCTCTACTTCATAGGATTGTTAAGCTGTGTGATCCCGGGCCAGGCGCAGATGGAATGGGTGTGAGGAGTCTCATCCATGTTGGTATCCGTCCCCTTGGCTCAGCTCTGCGGAGAGTCAGTCTTTCCTGACAGATCCGGGCGCAGGGGCCAGCATGACAGCAGGATTAGAAGTTTTCCATGATCTTGAGGGACCGAGGTGGTCACTTTATATGTATTGGTGATATAATTTGACTCGTATGTTTACAGGGTCTGGGTTCTGCTTCTTCGTCATCACTTCAGTTCCATTGCATGCGCGCTATTAGTACAGCTACTGAGCAGTGTAATTTGGGAAGACAATACTTGGAAAGAGTCAGGTTATGGTATTTTCTCTGGTTGCTTTAAATATTTCCTAACTTTTATTTTTTCCTGTTTCAGTGCAGTATATTCAAAGAACACTTTAAGAAGAACACATCCATGAAAGAAGTAAGTTCTCACTTTAGCCTTTAATGTGGTTTTTCTCACAGTTGACAATAAAAGTAACCTTTGGTGAGGACCTTAGAGTTTTCTGTATTTCACGTGATAAGCTCTGTTTTATGGTAGTAAAAAAAAAAGTTTATTCCTTTTCTTCTCACTTTTTCCACTGTTAGAAAGAACCTTTGTTAACATTTTAGAAACATTTCTTTTTTTCCAAGCCTAGATTTGTTTCATTTAGATAATTAGCACTGTGTAAAAATTGTACAGCTTTTCTGAATTTTGCCACTCCTCCCAGCCATTTCTCCGTGTTACTGACAATGGCTTGTGATTTCATGAGGTTCCATGTTGTCTACGTTAGTTTTATTTTCTTCAGGAGAGTCTTAGAATACCTGCACGTAATGGCAGGTACGTTTCTTTAATGCTCTTGATAGCTAATTCCAAATTATTTTTCCAACGGCCTGTCGCGTGGCATTGGAATTTCACATGAAGTCCAGGTGGTCAGGCAGTTGCGAGTGCGTTTGTTCTCTGTTCTGCCTCTGGCATCCTCCGGAACCCCAGCCTCCGGAGCCTTACCCGTATATTGAACTGTACACAGGCTCTCCTTCAGCCAGGACTGTCCGCCCTCTGTGCTCCCAGAGCTGTGCACATCCAGGTGGCAGGCATGTTTCTGGGGAGACAGCCCACCGTTCTCTTTAGGGATCTAGGCAAGCTATGGCCTGGGGGCCCAAACCAGCCTACTACCTCTTTGTACACAAGCCTGGGAACAAGGATGATTTTTAAATAGCCAAAATAAACAAAAAAGGATATGTTGTGTGTCATGAAGATGATGTGAAATGCAGAGGTCTGCATCTCTGAGTAGAGTTGTGTTGGAAGCCGGCCCTGTATAGGATTGTATAGGATTCCGTTAGCTATTTGAGGTCTCCTGTGTTTCTATATGAATTTTAGCATTTTTTTTTTGTATCTGAGAAGAATGTCCTTGGCATTTTGGTTGGTATTGCATTGAATCTGTAAACTGCTTTTGCTAGTGTGGACAATTTGATGACACTGATTCTTCCAATCCATGAACATGCAAGATTTTTCCTCAATTTTTTTTTTCTTTTTTTGTGGCTTCTGTTTCTTTAATGTTTTGTAATTTTCATTGTAGAGATCTTTGCCATCCTTTGTTAAATTTATTCCAAGGTATTTGATTTTTTTTTGATTGATCTTAGAAGTTCTTTCTTAGCCATGGCATTGTCTATGTAGACAAAGGGCTATTGATTTTTTGTGTGTTGATTTTATATCCTGCCACTTTACCAAACTCTTCTATCATTTCCAGTAGTTTCTTAGTGGAGTCTTCCAGATCCCCTATATATAGAATCATGTCATCTGTAAACAGGGATAGTTTAACTTCCCCCTTTTAATTTGTATCCCTTTGATTTCTTTTTCTTCCCTAATGACTGTGGCCTGAAACTTCCAGGGTGACATTGAATAGCAATAATGAGGGTGGGTATCCTTGTCTGGTTCTGGATCTCTGTGGGAATGCTTCCAACTTTCCCCCATTCACTATGAAGCTGGTCTTGGGTTTTTCATACATTGCCTTGAGGAATATTTCTTCTGTATACAATTTGCTTAGAGTTTTCATCATGAAAGGGTGTTAAACTTTATCAGATGCTCTCTATGTATCTATGGAGATAATCATATGGTTTTGGTTCTTCAATTTGTTAATGTGCTGTATCACATTGATTCGTGAATGTTGAACCATCCCACTTGGTCTAAGTGAATGATCTTTCTGATGTTGGATTTGATTGGATAATATTTTTGTTGAGGATTTTTTGCATCTATATTCATCAGAGAAACGGGTCTGTAGTTCTCTTTCTCTGTTGTATCTTTTCCAGGTTTAGGATTTAAGGTGATGCTGGCTTCGTAGAAAGAATTTAGGAGGATTCTGTCCCTTTTAATTGTTTTTGAATAGCTTCAGAAGAATTGGAGTTAGTACTTCTTTAAATGTCTGGTAGAATCAGCAGTGATGCCATTGGGTTCTGGGCTTTTCTTGCTGGGAGACTTATTATTAATTCAATTTCTGTCTTGGTTATTGTTTTGTTTAGGTTTTCTATGTATTCATGGCTCAATATAGGTAAGTTGTATGTGTCCAAGAATCTATCCATTCCTGTAGGTTTCCATTTTGTTGGCATACAGCTATTTGTAATAGTTTCTGATGATTGTTTTTATTTCTGTGGTATCTATTCCATATCCTTTTTCATATCAATTTCATTGATTTAGGTTTCCTTTTTTTTGTTGTTGTCGGTTAGTTGGGCCAATGTGAGTTTTATTTTTCAAAAAGCCAGCTTCTCTTTTCTCTGATCTTTTGAATTTTTTGGTTTCAATTTTTTTTGTTATCTAATTTTAATTATTTCTTTTCTTGTACTGTTTTTGAGTTTGGTTTGTTATTGTTTTTCTACCTCATTGAAATACATTGATAGCTCATTTATTTGGTATCTTTCCAATTCTTGATATAGGCACCAATTGCTATATACATTCCTCTTAACACTGCTTTTGCCATATCCCATAAGTTTTGCTATGTTGTATTTTCATCTTTATTCGTTTCCAGAAATTTTTAAATTTCTTTTCTGATTCTTCAGTGACCCACTGTTCATTCAGGAGCATATTGTTCAGTCTCCATGTGTTGCATATGTTCTAGAGATTCCTGAGTTGCTGATTTCCAGCTTCATTCCATTGTAGTCAGAGAAGATGCATGATATGATTTTGATTTTTTATTTGCTTTGACTTGCTTTATGGCCTAGCATGTGGTCTACCCTAGAGAAGGTTCCATGCACTGGTGAGAAGAATGTGCATTCTGCATTTGTAGGATGAAAAGTTCTGTAGTTATCTGTTTGGTCCATTTGGTCCTATAGTGTTAACTCTACTGTTTGCTTGCAGATATTCTGTTTGCTTGATCTGTCCATTGCTGAAAGTAGGATTTTTTTAAAAAGATTTATTTATTTATTTATTCAAAGAGTTACACAGAGAGAGTAGAGGCAGAGAGAGAGAGAGAGAAAGTGAGAGAGGGCTCTTCCATCTGATAGTCCACTCCCCAATTGGCCACAATGGCTGGAGCTGCATTGATCCGGAGCCAGGAGCTAACTCCAGGTCTCCCACGCGGGGAGTAGGGCCCCAAAGACTTGGACAATCTTCTCCTGCTTTCCCAGGCCATAGCAGAGAGCTGGATTGGAAGTGGTGCAGCCAGGTCTTGAACTAGTGCCCATATGGGATGCCAGCGCTTCAGACCAGGGTGTTAACCCATTGCGCCACAGGGCTGCCCTTAAAGTGGGATATTCAAGTCCCCGCTACTACAGTGTTTGAGTCTATGTCTCTCTCTAGATTCATTAACATTTCTTTGAAATAGTGGGTGACCTGCAATTAGGTGCATAAACATTTATAATAGCCTCATCTTCCTGTTGAGTTGAACCCTTAATCATTACATAGTGCCTTCTTTGTCTCTTTTAACAGTTTTTGTGTGAACATCTATTTTGTCTGATATTAGGATGATTATACCAGCTCTTTCTTGGTTTCTGATATCATGTAATATCTTTTTTTTTATCCTTTGACTTTCAGTCTGCATGTGTCTTTGTTGGTGAGATGTGTTTCTTGTAGGCAGCAGATAGATGGGTTTTGTTTTTTTAATCCATTCAGCCAGTCTGTGCCTTTTTACTAGAGAGTTGAGGCCATTTACATTCAAGTTGACTATTGATAAGTAATGACTTGGCCCTGCCATTTCCCCATAAACATTCCTATTGTTTACTTTGGATTTCCTTTGTACTTTTACTGGGAGATTGTCCGCCCTCATCTTCTTTCATAGTGATGACCATGTTTCTGTGTGTAGTGCATCCTTAAGTACCTTTTGTAATGCTGGACGAGTACTGGCAAACTCAATCTCTGTTGTGGAAGGTCTTTATTTCACCTTCATTTGTAAATGAGAGCTTTGCAGAGTACAGTATTCCAGGTTGACAGTTTTTTTCTCTTAGGACTTGGAATGTATCTCATTTCTGATGAGAATTCAGCTGTGAGTCTAATTGGAGAGCCTCTGAAAGTAACCAGGCATTTCTCTCATGCACATTTTAGAATCTTTTATGCTTTACTGTGGAGAGTTTGACTACAACGTTTTGTGGCGAAGATCTTTTCTGATCGTGTCTATTAGGAGTTCTAAGTGCTTCCTTTTTGGACATCCCTTTCTTTATGTAATTATTTCACTAAAATGGCCTGCTCATCCATTCCATCTTTCCACCCTTTCAGGAACTCCTAAGACCTGTATGTTGGGTCATTTGTTAGTATCCCATAAATTCCAATGGTGTTTTTCAGTTTTCCAATTTCTCCCCCCCCCCTTTTTTTTTGTCCATAAATTTTCAAAGGTTTGTTTTCTAACTTGGATATTCTCTCTTCTGCCTTACCAAGTCTGTTCTTATGGCTATCCATAGTACTTTTATTGGTTCTACTGAATCCTTCATTTCTATAATTCCTTTTCACTTCTCTGTAAAATTTCAGTTTCATGGGAAAAAGTCTCTTTCATTGCCATGTACAGGTTTCTTTAGTTAATGAATTTGCTTCTGATTACTTCTAGGTAATCCTGTGATTAGTTTTTTAATTCCATTCTGGTGTTTTGTCAGTCTCTTCATCTTCACATTCTGGTATTGAAATGTTGTGTTCTTTTGGGGGGTCACGTTGTCCTTATCCTTGTTTCTTGAATTTCTGCATTTATTATTAGGTATTTGTGGTGATAGTTGTTGGGTTTTTTTTGTTTGTTTGGCCCTGTGATGGTTTTTATCTTTGAACTTTGCCTCTGCTGTTTCAGTAATAACCCGAGGTGTGCTAGGAGTGATCAGGGAGCTCTGTTCAGTGCTCCGGGGTGAGGGATGTGTCCAAGGTGACACCCAAGATAGGTGTGGTAAATTTTTTTTTTTATCAGAGGGGAAGTTTGTTCAGCTATGTTGGTATATTCTCATGCTCCCTTCCTCTCTAAGGAGACC